TGATAGGTTTAAGTCTAAACTAGAATTTTGAGCTTAAATACTTGAGATCAATTTATATGCTGGCATATATAGTAATTCTTGAATGATAAATAATATTTGCAAAACAAACTTTAAAATTATGTAAAAAAAACTGATTATATAATCTTGCAAAATTTTATATGTAATTATAAAAATTATTTTAAATAAATATATACTTTAACAGGTCCTTCTTGTGATGGTTTTCAATGTAAATCTAATGGATTTTGTATTTCCGAAAAAATGAAATGCAATAGCAGATTAAATTGTGGTAAAAATGATAATTCTGATGAATATGAATGTAAGTATGACTTATTTAAATTTTTTTTATTTATTATTATAATTTTATATAACTTAATGATTTGAAATTATTTTAATTACAATTTTATTTTTACTTAGGCATTCAAGATCAAGGAATAAATATTTATTTAGTGGTTGGATTAACAGTTGGTTCTGCTTTCTTGGTTGCTCTAATAATGTGTGCTGTGTGTCATCGAAAGAGAAAACGTCGGAGACAACCAGACACACAGTTCGAACAGAGACCGAAGCCCCCCAGCGACATTCCAATCATGTCTTTCGTTGCAGTAGACAGTGTCTGAGAAATCAAAGATAATTGTCAGAATTTGGATAGAAGATGAAGGAAATGTTTGACTTTGTCTGAATCGGCATCTCATCTCCCTAACATTGCAATATGTTTGCCATAAACATGTCAGCGATCATACATTTCCGTGCCAAAAAAGTAAAAAAAGCAAACAGCAATTTGTTTTATGGTCCTGACTAACGTCTTCCCCTTGTCCTATAAACTAGAAATAAATAGATGTTTTATCCTTCTACATACGGGTAATCCTTTTTTAGATGAAAAGTCCACAGCAAAGGCGAGAAGACTGCCATCCTCTTGTTCATTTGTCTTCATTTTCTTCGGGCCATTGTTAAGTTTATGAACATTACCCAATGTTATTTGTGCCAATTAAATAATTTTACTCATCTACCCAAAAGCACACTCATCTGTTTCGGCAATTAAGATATCGGACATCGACTTAAACAACTGGGCATCACTTTATAACATAGAATTAACTTTATTTTACTTTCATGTGATAGTAGATATTTAAAAAACCAAATAACATATGCATAAGTTTTGCCAATGAATTTTGTATTAAAATATTCTATGGATTAGCTCATTAAAATTTTTGTTTAAAGAAATAAAATGAACACATTCAGTGCCTCAAGTGCATGACTTGTCTGCATTACAGTAATAATGGCGTTGTGTGTTTCAAAAAACATTCCACTAATACAAAAGGCGTATTTAACATTTATCTTAGAAACATTTTTAAGATCAAAGTTTTACATTTATTTTAATTAATTATTTTTATGATTATCCTTAGAACACTAAAATTGTCATATCAGAATATAAATGATTTATTTTATTGTTACAGAGCGATCTGCATATATCATTTTTAATATAGTATGAATGCGCAATTGGCAGTTTCATCATAATGCATCTGACTGGGAGGATAATTTGTTTTTAATTTCCAGTTGAGAAGTATCTATCTATCTATCTAAATTTTGAATTTATGTTGAATGTTTGTGATGACCTAAAATTTCTATTTCCTGAACTCAAATTGTACATTAACAAGAAAAAAATATGAAATTATACTTAATGATTGGATATGTAAGTTTGTCTAAAGTCTTTAAATTGTAAATCAAGATATTGTTTTGAGATTTCATTAAGTCAGTTGTTTATAGGTCCATTAAAAATGGAATACTTGAACAGCTCAATGTGATTTATGTTATGTATAAATCAAAAGAAAATGAAATATTCATTCTGTTAATAATTTCATGATCTTTGTAAATGTCAGATTTTGTTAAAAATTGTTAATTCAAATAATTGTGAGCATTTTAGTGCAAACAAAAAAATTCAAATCATTAATAAAAACAATTTGTTACTAAATGTTGTTTTCTTTTATTTAAATGTTAGTTTTTTCATTTGAAAGGAATTGGTGAATATGTAATTTGAAAGAATAAGAGTTTAGTTATTCATTCATGTGGATTTGGTGATGTTCAATAATGTTTTAGGATTTAAATTACAAATATTTATTGTATTTTTATATAATGATTCTTAGGGTTTATTTTGGATTTTCTAAGCATAATATTTACTCATTATAAATTACGTTCCACAGTTTTGTCAACAGATTTGTCACAAGATTTGTCACAGAATATTAGGAAAATATCCAATAAGTTCACAGTTCTCTAGCAAAAAAATGTCATTAAATCTAAAGACCAATTTCCTTTGATTTTAACATATAGAAGAATTATTAAGTCTTTTTTACTTATGTTCTATACAAAAGAAATGAATACCAAACTTTAATTTTGGATATACACAAACAAAATTTTAAAAAGTGATAGGCTCAAAGAACTTTATATACAAAATCTTTCATAAAATTATCATTGAATAGTTGAGTTCAGAATGATAATACTAAATATTGTTTTTTTCATAATTAAACCCTACTTTCTAATTTTGACATTAAAATACACACACTGATACACATAAGAATGTGTTCTTATAAGCAAAGCAGTATGTGTATTTCAAAATCACAGAATCAACTGAAATAATAATAAAACTGTAGAGTTATCTTTGTTTTAAACACACTCACTTTTTACTAGATTATTATTATTCTGATAAAAAGTTTAAAAAATTGCAATTGAAGATATTCAAAATTTGTTTGATTGTTATTCATTAATTCTTTAGAAATTAATGTTAGTTTATACTCAATTAACAGTCTAATATAAAACTCCATTTACAATAATAATCTGCAAAAATAAATGTATTCAAAATTATAATTACAGAACTGAACTTTTATCTAAAATTAATATTAAATATCAAATTGCCACTATAATAAATTACATTAGCTTTTTATGTAAATAATGTACAATTTTTGTTAATAAAACATTATTTTGAGTATAATAATATTTTCCAAGGCTCTTAATTTCCACACAAAAACCCATAGATGGGCCTTTGTGGAATTATATTCCACAAAGCACTAAAACACTTATTATTTTAAAAAACTTTTATCCTATCACAAGCATTTTTATTTTGGCTTTTATTTTTAATGGTTACCACAGAGATGTCGCTGAATAATTACTGTATCAATAAATTTACATTGACATAGCAGTGCAGTGCTTTTATAAGCCAAAACACACTGATACATATAAGAATGTGTTCTTATAAGCAAAGTAGTATGTGTATTTCAAAATCACAGAAGCAAGTAATTTTTACACATAAGCATATGCTCTTATTTGCATGGAAATAAGATAAAATTTTTCTTAGTAGAATATTTCTTTTAAATTATTTTCGCTTTTAAATTTCATTATATTAAACAATGCATCATAAAAGCGAAAATAATTTAAAAGAAATATTCTACTTGTATTAACATTGCATAAATGTATGTTTAATATTATTTCTTATAATAAATAATGAGATATTTAGACCATTTGCTAATAACATTAAATAACGTAAAGTTACTAAAATAAGAAAACTACAATAAATTTATTGCATATTTCTATTAAATAAGAAACACTTATGAGAATTTTGAATTAAAAGTTTGAGACAAAATTAATTATATACGACTTTAAATATATAACTTTTATGATGCATTGTTTAATATAATGAAATTTAAAAGTTATATATTTAAAGTCGTATATAATTAATTTTGTCTCAAACTTTTAATTCAAAATTCTCATAAGTGTTTCTTATTTAATAGAAATATGCAATAAATTTATTGTAGTTTTCTTATTTTAGTAACTTTACGTTATTTAATGTTATTAGCAAATGGTCTAAATATCTCATTATTTATTATAAGAAATAATATTAAACATACATTTATGCAATGTTAATACAAGTAGAATATTTCTTTTAAATTATTTTCGCTTTTATGATGCATTGTTTAATATAATGAAATTTAAAAGCGAAAATAATTTAAAAGAAATATTCTACTAAGAAAAATTTTATCTTATTTCCATGCAAATAAGAGCATATGCTTATGTGTAAAAATTACTTGCTTCTGTGATTTTGAAATACACATACTACTTTGCTTATAAGAACACATTCTTATATGTATCAGTGTGTTTTGGCTTATAAAAGCACTGCACTGCTATGTCAATGTAAATTTATTGATACAGTAATTATTCAGCGACATCTCTGTGGTAACCATTAAAAATAAAAGCCAAAATAAAAATGCTTGTGATAGGATAAAAGTTTTTTAAAATAATAAGTGTTTTAGTGCTTTGTGGAATATAATTCCACAAAGGCCCATCTATGGGTTTTTGTGTGGAAATTAAGAGCCTTGGAAAATATTATTATACTCAAAATAATGTTTTATTAACAAAAATTGTACATTATTTACATAAAAAGCTAATGTAATTTATTATAGTGGCAATTTGATATTTAATATTAATTTTAGATAAAAGTTCAGTTCTGTAATTATAATTTTGAATACATTTATTTTTGCAGATTATTATTGTAAATGGAGTTTTATATTAGACTGTTAATTGAGTATAAACTAACATTAATTTCTAAAGAATTAATGAATAACAATCAAACAAATTTTGAATATCTTCAATTGCAATTTTTTAAACTTTTTATCAGAATAATAATAATCTAGTAAAAAGTGAGTGTGTTTAAAACAAAGATAACTCTACAGTTTTATTATTATTTCAGTTGATTCTGTGATTTTGAAATACACATACTGCTTTGCTTATAAGAACACATTCTTATGTGTATCAGTGTGTGTATTTTAATGTCAAAATTAGAAAGTAGGGTTTAATTATGAAAAAAACAATATTTAGTATTATCATTCTGAACTCAACTATTCAATGATAATTTTATGAAAGATTTTGTATATAAAGTTCTTTGAGCCTATCACTTTTTAAAATTTTGTTTGTGTATATCCAAAATTAAAGTTTGGTATTCATTTCTTTTGTATAGAACATAAGTAAAAAAGACTTAATAATTCTTCTATATGTTAAAATCAAAGGAAATTGGTCTTTAGATTTAATGACATTTTTTTGCTAGAGAACTGTGAACTTATTGGATATTTTCCTAATATTCTGTGACAAATCTTGTGACAAATCTGTTGACAAAACTGTGGAACGTAATTTATAATGAGTAAATATTATGCTTAGAAAATCCAAAATAAACCCTAAGAATCATTATATAAAAATACAATAAATATTTGTAATTTAAATCCTAAAACATTATTGAACATCACCAAATCCACATGAATGAATAACTAAACTCTTATTCTTTCAAATTACATATTCACCAATTCCTTTCAAATGAAAAAACTAACATTTAAATAAAAGAAAACAACATTTAGTAACAAATTGTTTTTATTAATGATTTGAATTTTTTTGTTTGCACTAAAATGCTCACAATTATTTGAATTAACAATTTTTAACAAAATCTGACATTTACAAAGATCATGAAATTATTAACAGAATGAATATTTCATTTTCTTTTGATTTATACATAACATAAATCACATTGAGCTGTTCAAGTATTCCATTTTTAATGGACCTATAAACAACTGACTTAATGAAATCTCAAAACAATATCTTGATTTACAATTTAAAGACTTTAGACAAACTTACATATCCAATCATTAAGTATAATTTCATATTTTTTTCTTGTTAATGTACAATTTGAGTTCAGGAAATAGAAATTTTAGGTCATCACAAACATTCAACATAAATTCAAAATTTAGATAGATAGATAGATACTTCTCAACTGGAAATTAAAAACAAATTATCCTCCCAGTCAGATGCATTATGATGAAACTGCCAATTGCGCATTCATACTATATTAAAAATGATATATGCAGATCGCTCTGTAACAATAAAATAAATCATTTATATTCTGATATGACAATTTTAGTGTTCTAAGGATAATCATAAAAATAATTAATTAAAATAAATGTAAAACTTTGATCTTAAAAATGTTTCTAAGATAAATGTTAAATACGCCTTTTGTATTAGTGGAATGTTTTTTGAAACACACAACGCCATTATTACTGTAATGCAGACAAGTCATGCACTTGAGGCACTGAATGTGTTCATTTTATTTCTTTAAACAAAAATTTTAATGAGCTAATCCATAGAATATTTTAATACAAAATTCATTGGCAAAACTTATGCATATGTTATTTGGTTTTTTAAATATCTACTATCACATGAAAGTAAAATAAAGTTAATTCTATGTTATAAAGTGATGCCCAGTTGTTTAAGTCGATGTCCGATATCTTAATTGCCGAAACAGATGAGTGTGCTTTTGGGTAGATGAGTAAAATTATTTAATTGGCACAAATAACATTGGGTAATGTTCATAAACTTAACAATGGCCCGAAGAAAATGAAGACAAATGAACAAGAGGATGGCAGTCTTCTCGCCTTTGCTGTGGACTTTTCATCTAAAAAAGGATTACCCGTATGTAGAAGGATAAAACATCTATTTATTTCTAGTTTATAGGACAAGGGGAAGACGTTAGTCAGGACCATAAAACAAATTGCTGTTTGCTTTTTTTTCTTTTTTGGCACGGAAATGTATGATCGCTGACATGTTTATGGCAAACATATTGCAATGTTAGGGAGATGAGATGCCGATTCAGACAAAGTCAAACATTTCCTTCATCTTCTATCCAAATTCTGACAATTATCTTTGATTTCTCAGACACTGTCTACTGCAACGAAAGACATGATTGGAATGTCGCTGGGGGGCTTCGGTCTCTGTTCGAACTGTGTGTCTGGTTGTCTCCGACGTTTTCTCTTTCGATGACACACAGCACACATTATTAGAGCAACCAAGAAAGCAGAACCAACTGTTAATCCAACCACTAAATAAATATTTATTCCTTGATCTTGAATGCCTAAGTAAAAATAAAATTGTAATTAAAATAATTTCAAATCATTAAGTTATATAAAATTATAATAATAAATAAAAAAAATTTAAATAAGTCATACTTACATTCATATTCATCAGAATTATCATTTTTACCACAATTTAATCTGCTATTGCATTTCATTTTTTCGGAAATACAAAATCCATTAGATTTACATTGAAAACCATCACAAGAAGGACCTGTTAAAGTATATATTTATTTAAAATAATTTTTATAATTACATATAAAATTTTGCAAGATTATATAATCAGTTTTTTTTACATAATTTTAAAGTTTGTTTTGCAAATATTATTTATCATTCAAGAATTACTATATATGCCAGCATATAAATTGATCTCAAGTATTTAAGCTCAAAATTCTAGTTTAGACTTAAACCTATCACATAAGTTGATTCCCAAAAATGTGGTAAGCTAGTATTAAGGTAGAACTGAAATGTTGATAAGGTACACAATAGACCATAGTGAATGCATATAATTCCACTACTATTTTCATTGAGATATTAACCATAATATCTTTCAATAAATTATTAAAAGTGTTGATTTGGCTTGAATGTGTTTATCAGTGAACTTGGTCCTTGTACCAGGTTCATTGATAAACAAATTCAAGCCAAATCAACACTTTTAATAAAATATTAATAGTTTATACACTATAAGATCATGATAATAGTTTGTTTTGTAATAACAGGATAACAGGATTCTAATTACTGTATATCAATATTACCAAAAAACAATTTAATAAAAAAAGAGATATTTTTACAATTTAGTTAATTAAATAACAAAATAATGATTTTTTTGCAACATTCATTTGACATCCTGCTAACCAGGAACATCTACCCCGAAAAGAGAGATGTTCTTGGGAGATAACCATTTTTCTTCAAACTATAAATCTTACTATCCTTTCTCTCATCTTACATCACCTCCCCTCTGCACACTTGTTCAGCCTGTTGTTTTAGCAGTTGGGGATCAGTTTGACTAATGATGCCTGTTCAACACAGGCAAAAACATTTGCATTTTTTACAAAAACAGCTGGACAAGTTTTCAGTGTTATTAATATTTTATATTATTATTCATTCTTACAAGTTGGCTTTTAATCTATATGTTATGGACTAAGTGATTAAAATGGGCATTTTGAATAATGCCCGGCCATTATGAATAATGACACAATCTCGGACACTGTAATAAATTTCATGTTTTTTATCATATGTTATCTATCACATTGACTGGTCACTATAAATATTGTTATCATCTGATTAGGCAAAGTGATGAAGATAAAATCAATTAGATATACTTGAGGAGTGATCATCAAACAGATGCTAGCTAATTAGCGCTTGTGTCTGAGTTGCACATGCGTATTGCTTTTAGTATCGAATTTTAAATTTATGTGGCTATTAGTTAATCTTGTGCAACATTTTAATTTTACTTTTTAAAATAGTATGTCCTTTTTTGAAAAATAATGATTATGGAGCAATCATTAATTAAGTAACATAAATAACTGTTTCAACAACTGATTAAATGAGTTACAAAAAGTCAGAGCAGTCAAACTTTTACACAATCAGCTTAGGCCTATTTCACAATGATATAAAAAGTGAGTGTCAAAAACCAAAGTGATTTTGAAGTTACTAGAAGAATATCAGCATTTATATAGATATGATGCTGTATCTATCAGAGAATCAGAGAAATATAAAAATTAACTGTACCTGTAAAAGAATGTAATTTAATTAAATATTACATTCACACTGAAGAAATATTTCAGATATTGAATGATACTATATTGCTATTGGCCATGGCATCAGAAACTGTATGGAAAAAGAATTAAGTACAAAATATAAAAATATCACAAGGGAAATCATAATTTTCTTGAACGTGTGTGAAATCTAATAGAAAAAAACAATGTTCCTAAGAAAGGCTTGATAGTTAAACCAATTTTAAGTAATAAAATGAACTCAAGATGTCAGATTAACCTTATAGATATGCAGTCACAAGCTGATGAACTTTATAAATTTATACTCATGTACTATACTTTTCATTAACATTAATTTACTTAATACAGTTAATAATACTTAATTTTTAAAAATTTCATGTTATTAAAATACTTTAAAATAATTCACAAAAATAAAAAATTCTTAATGAAAAAAGTGGAAAGTTTTTGAAAATCAAATTGCTCAAAGGAAATGCAGCTTTATTCGTAATATTTGGTCAATTTAATAAATTAATCAATATTTATCAGACTGCATGGCCATTTTAGTCATTTTTCATAATTGCTGGACATTATAAATAATGTGAAGTCCTGGACAGGTCTGAACTGTCATGAAATTCAAAAAACAGTTGATTTAGAGAAAAAAAAATGCAATTGTTTAAAAAGGCAAGGGGGAAAAAAAGGTTGTAGTCTGACACCTTTTGTCTGTATCAAACTGCGATACAGAAACCATAAATGAGAGAAGGAATGTCATCCTATGATCAGTGAGAAATCAAATTCAGCTTCAATTTTGACCTTTCTTGCACTCTAGGTAAGGAGTCCCCTTAAGCTTCATAACGAGAGACCAGACACTCAGGAAGCGTGATTGAGGGAGAATGACCAATCAGAAGGGATGAAAGAAAGAACAGAGATTGATATAATCCCTGACAATCATGGACACCTGGCACTCAGTAAGTCATTTCACTTGGTTAGTTACTGTTCCAATTAACCAAGATGCTGTGTGTCAATGCGAAAAAAAGCAGTTTTCCGTCTATTGTGCCCAACCTGTAACCCATGCCACTTCAGACTTAGACCACATCTCCGATGCCAACCAACAGAGCCTCCCCACCTGCCTTACAGACTTGTCAACGCCACTGCCTCAGGGCCATCTTTGATTGATGCCCAGGACATCTGAACCACTGGTTGTTTTAACGCAAACTATTTTGTTCATAGTATAAGTTACTTTAATGTAAAAAATAAATGATTTTTGTTAGACACTTGTCATCTTTGTCTCCTCTGCCTCCACTTACATATGAATGGACCCTAGACCATCAGTGACACGCAATTAACTGATTGACCCTAAAAGTTGGCAAGCTTACAATAATGATGTATTAATTACTTGGCCCATAACATATACTGTGTATTGTATAGTAAAAGTAATCATTTAGTCATTTAACTAAATATACAGTACTATACAAATTTTTAATATATTAACAATTTAATTAATGATATAATAATTATTACAAACCTTCTTTAATTTCTGTCCATGTTGCATGGAAACCTGCAGCTCCTGTTGATTTAGCTGCTGTTATAAATCTAAAATCAAAAAAATTAAATCTATATTATTTTCATATTGTTGTAATATGCAACTAATGTTATTAAATCAGATAAATTTATGAAAAAATAAATGCCTATTAGTTCAACTAATATGAAAGTTTTCTCTAAATAATAAGGTATAATGTCAATTTCAAAATTTATTTTTCTAATTCAAAATATGTATGATTGTAATTTTTATTAGTTGTTAATTAATATTAATTCAAGATATTTCTAGACAGAATACAAAAATGCTGAATGTGAGTTATAAGGAAGCTTTACAAGTTACAAAAGTTATTTTAGCAAATAGCCAATTGTTTCTAAAAAAAATTATTCAATGATAAACACTGATATTATATCATTTTTAGTTTTATTGTTAATACTAGCAGGTAGGCCCAGCATTGCTTGGGCAAAAGTAACGATAGCAAAGATTAAGATTATTACGCGTTTTCACAGAATGCACGAATTGGGTCCCCCGTTTCCAGATTAATTAGAGAATTTTAGATGGGTCTAAAAATATCTTCGATTTCCTGCAAAAACGAAAAAAAAAAAAACTCCACTTTCTCTTAAAATGTCACTTTCTTTTAACAATTCCATTGTTGACACTTCCATTGTTACTTAACACTTGTATTGTTGATGGAAGTATTAAGACTTAATCCTGTCTCTCTCCCCCCAGGGGGCGAATTTCGGAAAATCCTTTCTTAGTGTGCGTTTTCGTGATGTACCCAAACTGTGTACCAAATTTCAGCTTTCAACTCCTAACCGTTTGGGCTCTGCACTTATTATTATTATCAACTCATCTCGATTATATATATAGATAAAAAAAATGATTTTAGAAATTAAAAAATGTTCTCACATATATTTAAATCTTTCAGCGGTAAAGCATTTAAGAAGCTTTTTGGACTAAGTGTACCTTCCTAAATGTTAAACATTATCACAAAATCAAAAATTTTAATTGGGCATATCAAATCGATTAAGAAAACTTGCATAATTTTAATACTTTTCTGAGAAACAGATGGTGTGTGTGTGTCTTAGTCTTAGGTCCTCCTGTGCCAAGTGGCATGCTGAGCAACCAGTTGTCTCCAGCAATGTGATCAGCTGCAATGGTTACAGCATCATCCCATGGAATGCTGATCTTCTTTATATGTAGAGTGCCAGATTGTTTGTGGTCTATCTTGTTTCCTTTTTCCACTGCATGGTTTCCATCACAAGGCTGCTTTTGGCAAGTGTTCCTCTGGCAGACAAAGTATGTGCCCTTCAAAGTGCATTCTATGCTCTGTAACAATGTCCTATAGTTTGTGTAGGCCACTTCTGAGGACTTGCTCATCTGTAATACAGTCATTATATATAATTATAAGCATCCTTCGAAGATGGTGTTGATGGAATGAGAATGGTGTTGTAGAGGCATATCTTAGTTGCTGTACTAATTGATCATGTAGACTAGATTGAGCATAGTCTCTGAAAGACAGCTGATGCTTTACCAAATCAGCATTTTATATCAGCTTCAATGCCTCCATCTGGTGATAACATGCTACCAACATAGCAGAACTTCCCCACTTCATCTATTGTGTGATTCCTGACTATGATTTTTATTGTTGTTTGCCTATTTATGAACATTATCTTTGTTTTATCACTTGATCTGCAATACCATTCTTCAGCCTCATGTTCAAGGCTTGTGGTCATACTCTGCATCTTTGGGAACATTTCTGATATCAATGCAACGTCATCAGCAAAGTCCAGGTCTGTGAGCTGCATCTGTCCTCTCTATGGAATTCTTACACCTGAGATGGCCATTGCTCACCTCATTATAAAATCTATGACCAGGAGGAACAGTAATGGTGAGAGAGTGCAGCCTTGCCTAACACCAGTTTCAATTTTGAAGAAATCAACATATCTATCCTCTGTCTTTATGCAGCAGGTAGGTTCCAGATACAAGTTCTTAAAAATATTAATGTATCACTGTGGTATGCCATAAGATCTAACAATATTCCACAATTCATAATGCACAGTGTCAAAGACTTTTTTAAAGTCAATAAAGTTGATTATCAGTGGTTTCTGGAACTCCAGACATTGCTCTATAATATTCTGAAGATCATGCTGCAAACATAGATCTGTTCACAGCACAATCATCCCTCTCTGAAGCTAGTTTGCTCTTCCCTCAGGGTTGATCCAACTGCTCCTCTTCACCTCTGTAGGAGAACTAAGCAGAAGACCTTTCCAGGAATTGAGAGAAGTGTAATGATTCTCCAGTTGTTACAATTAGCAAGGTTTGCTTTCTTAGGAATTTTGACTATTACACCTCTTCAACAGTCCCTGGGGACACTTTCCTTCCTCCAGCAGTTGTTCAGAAAGTTTGTGAGGACCTGCATGATGTAATCTCCTCCATACTTCAGGAGCTCATATCTTCCACTGAGATCTCATAGAGGCCTTCTGATTTGTTGTTCTTCAAGGATCTAATTGTCTTTGCAGTTTCATCTACAGTAGAGCATCGATTATCCGAATCAATTGGGGACTGGGGTTCAGAAAATCAATTTTTCGGATAACCGATTATGTACGAAAAAATATATTAACTTATCCCATGTTGAAATTTGTTCAAATCCTGGCACATCCTTAAGTACCCTTTCATGGTCATGCCAGTGCTGCCAGCTAAAACACGAAAACCAACAAAAATAATATTGGAGTAGCCCAAGACGCAGGCAAAGATTGCAGCACCATAGCACTAGCAGAAATTAAAATTTGCCAACTGGAAAGCTTTCAGTTAATTGATGTTTCGGTTGATCAACATTTGGATAATTGATGCTCTACTGTATTGTGATCTCACCAATTTCCACCTGAAGGTCTTCTGAGGTGTTGACAGTGTTGAAGTCAAGTGTAGAAGTAGGAAATGGTTAGTTTAGCATTTCATTAATGCTCCATCCAGCATGTGCTTTGTTCTTTACTGAAAAGGATTTTACTGGTTTTATCATTTCTGGGAGCATTAGATTCAGGTGTATGAAACATGACGAAGATTTCACGTGCATGATCAATAAGAAATATGGCACAGCAAGCAGCATTCAGTAGCAGTGAGACTAATGTCATTTGTAAATGAAATTCTGTATGTTCACATAACTAGGCTATACATAGTAATGTTCAAATGAATGTAATGTTTTCAATGAAACATTAGAATATTTGTGCTATTAATTATGGTATTGTTTTAATTATTTATTTTTAATTTTAATCATTATTTAGTAGTCTTGTGAAGGTTGGTCTTGAAAAATGAAATTTTTGGTCATGTCGCAGCCTTGGCAGTGAAAGCTACGGGAAAATTTAAAATAATCAAATTATTAACACATGTAAAATTATTTATGCTACACATCAGAGCATGCTAAAAGTATGCTGGCAACACTGATATAGACATTAGTTCTAAAATGTGCTGAGCATATGAGAAGAAAACTTTTTCTTATGAATTTTGCATTTCATTCCTGTTGAGGGAATGTTTCTCAAAGTGGCTTGATTATGAACTCTTAAAATGCCAGAATGACAGATCCATTATTAGAATTATTAGTTTTTTAAAGTGTACTAAAGACCTGTGAATGCTGTTCTGTTTAGGGAGTAGCTTTCTTACAGAATAGCTTCAATTTTATATATGCTTTAGATATGTTTGTAATGTAAATGAAAAAAGCATTGTAATGCTAATAACATTCTAAATTTGAAGCTCATGGTAATTTTTATAATTCAATTTTGTTATTTTAAAAAGTAGCTTTTGTAACTGTATACTTATAGTAACTTTTTTGTAACTGTATAATATAGTAACTTTCCCAAATTAGTTTTGATTATAGATGTGAACTATTTTCATAGTAATAGTGTGTGGCTACTTGTATTTTTAATTATTTAAAACTAGCAGATAAGCCCGGTGTTGCTCTAGCAAAAAATAACAATAGCAAAGATTAAGATTATTAGATTACAAGTTCAGACGTGTGCACTGTGTATCTCACCGACCATACAACTGCGCCATGTGGTTACCTATCTTGTATACATACGCATCTTGCCCCTCGCCACCTGCTCACATCAAAAATATAATGCTTACCTAGATGTTATCTTTTAATTTACATGAATGTTTAACAAAATAATATACAGCCTATGTCTACCCTGAAGGTCCATTCTAAATATTAGTGAAAGAATTTTTGAAATTGGATCAATAGTTTTGGAGATTACCTCCTACATACAAACTTTATCTCTTTATAATATTAGTATAGATTTACATGCTTTGATTATTTTAATTCTCAACATCTTTCCTTTGTTCTTGTCTTCCCTTTCTAATCTTTCTTTTGTCAATGTAGGTGTTATGTTCCGAAAAACATCAGAATAGAGAGGACAATGACAGGTCCAAAGGGGAAAGAGTAACTGGAGATTCTTAAGCTTGATTTCGGAGAGGTCACACGGAAGTCCTGATAGTCGGAGAAAAAACAGAACAGAAGAGCAAAGAAGGTTAAGCTTCAGCAAGTACTGTGTTGCTGGACAGGATATAAATTTTATTAGTGCTCCTTTCTGAACAAGAGACTTTCGATCATCACAAAGTTGGGTAAGCAACAGAACTATATTTGTGATGAAAGATGGAAAATCATAAAGCTAGAAAGCTAGAAGAATTCATTATGGACTCCATCTCACAAGTGAGGAAAGTATCCCCCAACAAAATCCTGGGTATTTTCACTATTGATCTTTCTATCTTTGTCCTTCTAATTTCTTATCCTACTTTCCTCATACTTAGATTGTAAGGTAGTTTTAAGGTAATATTAAATTGGGTTTCTTCTATTATGTGCAAAATGTTTTTTTTTTGTTCTGTAATCACATGCACTCCCAACTTGGGGAAATTTCATTGGTATCCAACCTTTGTTGGGATCCAAAAGATTCTGCGACACTTGTTTTGTTCTATGTAAATAAAGTATAGAGGAAAAAGTGGTATTATGGAACACTGTGGGTATTATGGAACCACCCCATTTCAAACTGATAATAAAGGCGAACTG